TGGACGTATTTGGCCAAGTTCTCCACTTTACTCCGCTGTTTATCGGCGATCTCGTCGACATCCTACAAAAATGTAAATCATCTCAGACATAATGGTATCAAGAACATTTTAAACAAGTTTCAACTTGGTTTCAAGTAGATCATACCTGTTTAACCATCGACAAGGTAAATCCACAACTTTGTCCAAATTCGGCGCCATTTTGTCATCCCATGGCCATGTCGCTTGATAACAATTCAGCATTATTACTCTTCCATCCAAGCCATTTCCATTCCACTAATAATAAATTTAACCCTTTATACCAGGAGGTAACTAAAAAACTAAACAAAACATAAGAAATTCGCCATTTTATCACCCTGTAAAATTTCGCTCACGAGTCTTTCAAAACATTCCGTACAAATATCGCGTGACAAAGTAACAGGGACGTGACAGGAGGGGGGGAATTATTTCACGAAGATAGAAGAAGGCCGCGTGAAATAGACTAAAAGTTAAATACAATCATGCAAATGTTTGTTTTATTTCTTGTAGTGACAAATATATACATTTATTATTTATTAATATGAAAAAGTCATGCAAATTAAATGTTGATTGTTGGTTTTACCATACTGTATGGGCTTTCATTTTTCAAGTCTCTACCCCCCTGCAAGTCCCTGTTGCTAAACCACGCGAGATTTGTACGGAATGTTTTGAAAGACTCGTGAGCGAAATTTTACAGGGTGATAAAATGGCGAATTTCTTATGTTTTGTTTAGATTTTTAGTTTCCTCCTGTTATAAAGGGTTAAATTTATTATTAGTGGAATGGAAATGGCTTGGATGGAAGAGTAACAAGGCTGAATTGTTAACAAGCGACATGGGATGACAAAATGGCGCCGAATTTGGACAAAGTTGTTGATTTACCTTGTCGATGGTTAAACAGGTATGATCTACTTGAAACCAAGTTGAAACTTGTTTAAAATGTTCTTGATACCATTATGTCTGAAATGATTTACATTTTTTGTAGGATATCGACGAGATCGCCGATAAACAGCGGAGTAAAGTGGAGAACTTGGCCAAATACGTCCATTTGCAGGAGGTAGGCACATTTCAAATTATTATTTCGGTCAGAAAATATTAACTATTTTACACCAAACCAGTGATAATATATTTAAATAAGTACCATTTATGTTTCTATCAAAAAGATTTAGGGAAAAAGGTAATGTAAGTCCACTGCTGTTTATCTGAATTTGTAAGCCACAAATTGACGTTTAACTATGATTATTGCATGGCCATTTTCATGTGAAATATTAGTGCTAGGCATTTCACACTTACCAATGACCACCCCCAATAGTACCATCTCTGAACCATATAAGCACCTCAGAATAACCAAAGCTTTTATGGTTTGGTAGATAGCAGTATGGCGAAAGCGTCGTTTTTGGGTGTGGTCAGTTTCGGACGTTTCGTCCCGGATTGGGGTTCGGGCAGCATTACCATGTTGACCGTCATGGTCAACTTGCCCTAAAACAGTTGAGATTATCTGTCCTAAATGAAATGCATACAAACTCATATACAGGTCCTAGACTATAAGCAATTATTGCCTATTTATAATAAAAGTGCACTGTTTTAAACTAAGGTGCTACAAAATATTTTATCTGTATATTTCTAATTTTTGATAACTATATTCTTTAGGATATAGAGCAGCCGGATCGAGAGAAGTTCACACAAACAGACATTCCAATGGCTGGTACGGATTGCAATTACTGTCTGGAATTACAAGAGAGGAACCGAATTCTTCGCAATCAAGTCATAGACTTAAAACAAAGACTAGCTAAAGAGAAATCCATTGTGAAGGATTTACAATCTAGTAAGTAGTTTAGTGTTATTTTGTGTTTTGTGTATACCGTGAAAATCTATACCATATTTTATATGACCGACCTCAGTTGTAAAATTATTTCAGAACTGTTGACAAAAAAGTGTCGACAGTCATACATGAGCAAGTATTTGCACTACGAATATACATTTAATAGGAAGTATATTATCGCTAGTAATTGTTGAACTATTACAAACAAGGACAGAGATTATTGAGCTTATCAAATTGAAAACATAAGCCCAAGTTGCCCAATATAAGCATATTTTTATGGGTATCATACACCCTTTTCATAAATGGCTGCCAATCAAAAATTCTTTTATGTGCATGTGAATTGGCCCAACTAACCTCGTTTCTTGGTAGAAATTCCTTTGAAATCTTAACATGAGTATGAGGCTAGTTGGGCCAATTTATATGCACATAAAAGAATGTTTAATCGGCAGCCATTTATGAAAAGGGTGTATATGATTTCACGATTTTATATATAATTTTATCAATCAGACCTTCAAATTATATAATAAATATGTATATATAATGTATGACATTCTCTGATCAGGCTATGTTGAAGAGATGTATCAAACCTTCCTGGATGCTCAACGGAAAGGCGACCTTGAGGAAGAGAAGGACAAATTGAAGAAGATGACTCCTGAGCCAATGAACACAATGCTGACCAAGCAACCACGAGATGAGGCCATAAAGAAAAGAAAAGAAAGGATAGGAGAGCTATGGTTGTGGAAGATGTCCCTCCTACATCAACAGGTTTGAAAAATAAATATACAGTATATTGCATAGCCTGCGTGGCAGGCTCTCAATTTTATGGGCAGAATTATAAATAAACAAACTTTTATTGTTATAACACATATGTAAATCATCTGTTTCTTTCACTTATTTAGTATCTCAAGTTGAGGCAACCACAGCAACACCAAATCAACGGGCAAAACCTCATTGCAGTTTGTGTCACCATCCCATGAAGGGCCACAAAAATGTGGTTGATTGCCCACGGAATCAACAAAACCCAAACTAATGTATAAATATATCTTAAAAAATACAATTGAAATATTGTTCTATGGTGACAGTTCATTATATAATATACTGTATGCTACAGGGTGGGGTGCAATATCAAGATAGCATGACCAGTTGCCATATGGAACATTTACTGGTACTGTATAAGATATAATATAGGCTATATAGCCATTTGGGGATTACCTTATACCTTGTCTGGCCCAATATATCTACCAGAATAGAATGTTGATTTAAAGATAAAGAGTAGAGCCAAGCAAATAACTTTAAAGTAAAAAAAAATATTAGCCAACATTTTGTTGTTTACAATACAACATCTTCAGAGCAATCTAAGTGAATTTACAGGGTATGGTGTATATATATTTACAAATAATGGGTATTTACAAATATTTTTGTAATATTAAACCATTATTTGTAAATAGTACATACAACATAACATACCCTGCACATTCATTTAGATTGTTCTGAAGATGTTGTATTATAAACAGTGAAACATTAGCTAATAATTTTTTTAATTTTATTGTGTTTGGTGTTCTTTTCCAATTGCCATAGTTCTGAAGAATAGAATGTGCTTTTAAAATACTTTATTAATAATGAATAGTCCTTAATTAATTTCAGTTAACAATTTCTTATTAATCTGATACATCTTCATCAAATCCAGTTAATTCCTTGTCTCCCGGTGGGAATTTTGTTCGAATTGCATGGTATGCACAAGCCGGCAGGGGTATTCGCAGCCGACCCAACACACCATACACAAGCTGTGAGAATTCGCGGTATGCTATTGAGCGAAAGAATCTAAAATGAAAGTAAAAATATTTAAATTCATGATTATATATTATAATATAGCATTTGTAAATTTTGAACACTGATTGGCTAAGAGCTGTGTTAATATAACTCAATGCCAACACAGAAACGTCGGAAAATTTCTTTCTTTACATTTTTTTGTGCTATATTATAAAACATTTTTTCTGTATTGATATATAGTTATATCAACACGAGTGGAAACTGGGAAAACTCAAAATTGTGTGAAAAACACTCCGCGGGCAGAGTGTTTTCAGAAAATTTCTAGCCGGAGTGTTTTCACACAATTTCGAGTTTTCCCAATTTCCACTTGTGTTGATATAACTGTATATCAACACGGAAAATCTTTTATATTTGTTAATTTCAATTCAATACACCCTTTCAATAATTATATCACACATATTGTGATTGGTTCATGATTCACTAGAGCGAGGCTCCCAGGCCAAATGACGTAATTATCGAAAGGGTGTATTCTACATAGTTTGTCAGATACCAAGGACAAATAGTAGATTTTTGTTATTTTGAGTTGCTATGCAAAGTAAAATTGGGTCATTCCATTTAATTATGTACACCCTCACCCAGTATGGACTAGAATTTCCAAGGGGGTTTGGAAAAATTGTTTCTGAGGGGTTGTGTGCATTGGCATCCTTTGATCTTTTGTGGGGTTTTTTTATGAGTAAAGCCCGCCGCACACGAGAGCAACTTGCTGAGCTAACCGCCTCGCGAGGCGGTTAGCTCAGCAAGTAGCTCTCGTGTGCGGATAGTTTTCGTGAGGATTTGACCTCTCGAGGCCTTGAGGAAAATATCTATCGTGTTTGATATTTTTCGCCTCGCGAGGAAAAAATCTCAGCGTCTGCGGATGTTGTGAGCTAAGTGCTGAGCTGTTTGAATCAATTAGCCAATGACAAACCATGGTTTCTTCATGTGACATGGAACAAAATGGAGGAAAATGCAAATAATTTTGTTAATTATGTTGTTGTTGAGTAGTTTTCCCAACGTGTGCGGTGAAAATACATAGCTGAGCTAACGGCCTCGCGAGGCGGTTAGCTCAGCAAGTTGCTCTCGTGTGCGGCGGGCTTAAGGCAAACATTTCTCAATTTGGGGAGGGGGGGGGGTGTCAACACTTTGATCCTTTTTTCTTTATAGGGGTTCAAATTTTACTGAACTCGTGCACAGGGGGTGAATTGGGCTATTCCATTTAATATCCGCACCCCCCCTATCGAGGAGCTTGGAATTCCTCAGGGTTAGCTCAAATTAGGTCGTGGAATTCCTCAGGGTTAGCTAAAAATTGGTCGTGGAATTCCTCAGGGTTAGGTGAAAATTGGTCGTGGAATTCCTCAGGGTTAGCTCAAATTAGGTCGTGGAATTCCTCAGGGTTAGCTCAAATTAGGTCGTGGAATTCCTCAGGGTTAGCTAAAAATTGGTCATGGAATTCCTCAGGGTTAGGTGAAAATTGGTCGTGGAATTCCTCAGGCTTAGCTCAAATTAGGTCGTGGAATTCCTCAGGGTTAGCTCAAATTAGGTCGTGGAATTCCTCAGGGTTAGCTAAAAATTGGTCGTGGAATTCCTCAGGGTTAGCTAAAAATTGGTCATGGAATTCCTCAGGGTTAGCTGAAAATTAGGTCGTGGAATTCCTCAGGGTTAGCTCAAATTAGGTCGTGGAATTCCTCAGGGTTAGCTAAAAATTGGTCGTGGAATTCCTCAGGGTTAGGTGAAAATTGGTCGTGGAATTCCTCAGGCCGTCAGGGTTGGGCTCAATTTAGGTCGTGGAATTATTTTATTTTATTATTTTATAAGCTTTATTGGACATAGAAATTCTAGATTACAAGGTGAACGTCCAATGGGGTTAGTGCAAACGGGAAAACGAGACCCATGCAAGGCACAACCCCTAAATATAAGTATGACTAGATAACAAAATGGAAAAAGAAAGAAAGAAAAATATCTATTTACAGTAAATATACAAAATGTAGTTTAGGAACGATGGCAAGAGAATTCCTCAAGGTTAGGCGGTGAAAATCGGTCGTAATTCGTCAGGGTTTGGTCAGATCAGGAGTAAATTAAGTCGTGGATTTCTCACCTCAAGGTTAAGTCCGAGGCCCGCTTAGCGGACGACAGACTAGCGGGTACTAACTCACACAGTGTTTGTTCCTTAAATTCCTTTTGTTTTAATATAATAGGACTTGCTCAGGGGTTCACACCAAATGTCTTTCTTTTATCGTTTAAAAATGTTTTGTATATAATATGACACAGTAACTTTTTTCGATGGCTGGTTTGCCTGCAGTGATTTTAAAAATCGTTTTAGGGCCTTTTATAGACATGCTTAAATTGTCAATGCCAAGACATGAATCTGGTCATCTGGGTTAATTAATATACCCTCTCTCTTTTTCCAACTTTCTGCAAATTCCGCGAGTTTTTCCGTATTTTTGTGTGAGGAACCGTCGTGGGAACCGCTGACGAGCTGGCTTTTTGAATTTAGAGTCTCTGAAATGCCATTTCCTGGACTTTGAGGGAAGATTTGACAGAAATCTTATGGTCAGGAAACGGCATTATAACGTGTCGAAATTTGCAATTTGGTTAGAATTTAATTAGTGGTAGTACTTAAATTATGCAATGCTAACTGTCCTAACTTGCACTAACTACTTCCAGCGATGAATCTAATTCTATTCTCTATTCGGCGCCAGCTGGGGGGGGGGGGGTGATGGCCTCCCGGCCCCCATGCCAGCACGCTGCGTAACTGAATTACCAAGTTTTATAATATTTTATTATAGTAGCAATATATTTGTCACAATGACATCTCTTTGCCATCCGTATTCCATCCATAATTGACCTGGCATGCCCAAAGATGGACCTATTACCTAATGAACAAAATTTTGATCAAGACAAGTCTAGACACAAATTTCATCACAGCTTGAAAGAGCATCACAAAATTAGTAATATTCCGAAGTTTCGTTGCGATATGTTGTAAAATGCGGATAATATAGCCCTACGAAGTTTGCCGTTTTTCTGTCATTTTGTATTAATTAATACGCACGGGAAATTGATTCCTTTTTTCAGAAAGCGGTATCAATTTCCCATGCGCAATACAAAATGACTGAAAAATGGCAAATTTGCAGGGCTATATTATTCGCATTTTACAACATTTCGCAACGAAAATTCGGAATATTACTAATTTTGTGATTAGACTTGTTTAGATCAAAATTTTGTTCATCAATACGTAATAGGCCATTGAGTCTCGTTTTCATGTGGCAAACAGGCAAACGTGAATTTAATTAGGAAATTGGGTTTTCCGTAGAGGGGTAAATTAATAAATTTTCAATTTCCTAAATTGGAAAATATTTCAGATTAAGCATGGGTTTGACCGTTTGAACACTTTGATAACAGAATATTTATAAAACAAGACTATTTATCAATACAGTCTTTAACAGAAAGTACTATTTCGTTCATTTCACTGTCTAAAAGTTCAAAACACTCCTCTTTAATACCACTGGCACTGCAGTCCATTAAATCTTCATTGACATTGTTCTGTCTATTCAATAACTGACTCGCCTGGCACGCCTGCATGTTTTTATATTCCATAATGGATTTCGTCATATTGGCTTGTGCTATTTTTAACTCAGAAAAAATTCGATCAAATTCTTTTTCCAAAGGAGGCCGGCTCTCCTCACCATTTTTAGCGAGCTCTTCTGAAAGTCGTTTGTAGTGACTGTCAACCATAAATTGCGTCTTCTCTAGATTATCGAAATTTTTCATCAAATTCTTCTCAATTTGACTCGGATTTTCATTGGCAATGTCGTCATTTTCAGCTGGTGAATTAGCGATGAGCTCCCGCACAGAATTTTTCAATATCGCCGTTTTCCGTAGAACCCAATGTACATTGATAACGCCACGGATTTCTTGTATATTCCACTCTTTTAGAGAGGAACTGTCAATTATTTCTGTCAACTTGTTGTTGAAAAAGATTTTCCTTTGTTTTTCAAACCCTTCTAAACTTGAATCTATTTCCTCTTGGCTAAAATAGCTCGGGTATTGATGAAATATTTTTCTCTGTTTATTTTTGTCATTCTCTGGACATGCTTTATTGGACTCGCTCACTTTCGCGGTTTTTTTTATTTCAACTTTCGCTATATTTTCAGGACGAAGGAAATGCAACTCAATAAATATATTATCTTCTCTAGCGGACTTGGTTACACACTTCCTGATTTCGTATTTTGCCTCTTGTTTCCTTGTTATTCCGGTCCCAGAGATTGCGAACTCGTAACAAGACTCTTTTAATCTTGGTAATTCGGACTGTATTCTTGCACGCAATTCTCCGAGACGAGATCCCAAATCAACATCATTTAAGACCGCAATAAGTTCATTTGTTTCAGCATTTTTAAGGGACAGCATCTTTAACTTAAAGATGCGACACACAATCGCTTCTCCACGAATGGCAGAGAGACTTTAAATATCAATTAGTTGACACTTGACAATGAACTGATATTTTGGAAACAAAATACGACAATTAGAGGCAGTTGAAGGGCTTCCATTAAATTGACCTTGTGATTGACCTAGAAGAAATCCGATTAGAAGAAAAACAACTTTTGTGTTTATTGGAAAACGCGGACATGGGCACCGGACAACGGAAACCAGCGTCTGCGTTTTCCAGTAAAGCTTAAACTTTTGCCTATCAATAGATATCTTATATAAGATATCTATGTTGCCTATACGTTGAAATTTGAAATCTTTGTGAGTTTCTTATGTAAACGGCGTATCACTCGACATTTGAAGCAGTCCATGCAGTCTAGCAGTCCTGAAATAAAGTGCATTTAATTTTAATGTTCAAGATAAATTACCAAATCTTGATATAAAAAAATGACGCCTGACGTTTGGCAAAATTAATTCACCATGCAATTAATTAGTCCATGAAGTTTGCAAGGAATGTGCATGCTGCAACACCCCTCACGCCTAAACCCTGAAGCTTGTTGCCCATTTTTTGCAAGATATACGCTACATTTATGCATATATATTATTATTATTATTATTATTATTATTATTATTATTATTATTATTATTATTATTATTATTATTATTATTATTATTATTATTATTATTATTATTATTATTATTATTATTATTATTATTATTATTATTATAGGAAGTATTCCCCGCAGGGCTTTTCAATACTTATTTACAAGTGATACTTTTGACAGATTAATTAATGTTTATAAAAATAATTACAAAAGGAATTTATAAAAAGTTTACAGTAAATGTAGCGCAATAAAATAAATTTCAATAGGAATAAGATTCTTCCATGCATGTTAAACTATAGTGTTTATATATACTATAAATATTTAAGTTTCAAAATATCGATTTAGTAAGATATATCTCGCATCGTGGGCAAGAGATACAGTAGTACTCTCGTCCGTAGAATCGTTGGTTAACGGTGGAATAGCGCAATATTTATCCTCTTGCTTATGAAATTATTGTCTAATTCTGACCGTTTGTAACGGACTTACAGTAACAGTTTGAACGTACTTTCCGGAAGCGTGTATTCCGAATAGCTATACATTCCGCCATTCGCAATCCGCATTTTTCTTCCGCATGTCACGAATCGATGTTTACGTTAGTATGCTTATATATACTGTAGTATATGTGTCTGCTCATAGACTGGGATGTCTTGTCTGAAAATTAATAACGAAGAGGGACAGACTGTTGGGGTAATACCCATATATTGCGGCGAAACAACACTTGCAAAGCTACGGGAAGAGATTGAGTATGACTTGGAAATAAACAACTTTTTGTTTGTGCACGGTGGATATAAGTTTAATACGTCTGAAGAAATGTTTACAAACGTGGCTTCGGTCGCTCATGAAATGGTCAATCATTCCGCAGAAAAAATTTTTTTTTGCGTAACCATTTTCAAACGTTCAAAATTAAGTGGTGAATGTGCAAGTACGAAAGATCCTGCAGATCCGTCGAAAACAACCATTGACGCTACAGGCAGTATGGCTTCAAATACAACACCATTGACAGGAACCCCAAAGACAGATCAAAATAATCGGCCGTGTTCTTCAACCTCAAAAGTGACAGGAAGTTTTCTACGATCCCCAACATCATGGGAAATAAGAGGTGTCAAAATTTATACGCAAGTTGAGATTGAGAAAGCTAAAGGGATGGAGAAAAAGAGAAGAGTGTTTTGGAACAAGGAAGCCAAGCGAATTTGTCGACAAACAAAGAAGTCTAAGAACGAAGTAGCGAAGGAAGTTAATATTGCCTGGAGAAAACACCAGGGTACGCTGCTTTTGGAAGAAGAGAGTCTCTTACAAAAAATGCAAAAAGATGCTAGCGAAGCCGAAGGTCATGAATGTCAAAGTCAAATTAAATGTAAGCCGGGCACTATTCAAAAAAACTTTGACAGGATACAACAGCATAAGAACACATTAGACCAAGTAATAAATGAAATAGAAAACACTAAATGCGGTTCTGCTATTGGTAAAAAAAGAAAGCTTGACGAACTTAGTGACAAAAAGAGTTACCTTCTTGCCGAAATGAAGAAAGCACAAGATGCAATGCGAAAAAACTTAAGAAAGAGCGTTAACTTTGTAAAGGATCTATCGAACGACATGTAACCGATTTAACGCATACCACAAACAGATAGTTGACAAATTTATTTCAGTTGTTGGGTTAGTTACAATAATTTATGTTGTTGTTCAGAAACATTCATGAATCATGTTTAGTATAAGCTTTAAATCTTTGCCCTGAACTTATTGTTGCTTTCCGTATTAGCGCTTGGATAAAAATACGCAAGACAAGTGCTTATAGTATGCGTTTTTTAATATATTATCCCATTCCCGCGCGTTTTAATACTGCATGAGACGTCTCGTGACTCTCGTTTATAGCGAGCGAATATTTCCGTGCGCGAGGGGCAAGTCACCCCCAAGTGAAACTTTTGGGTTTCGAAAGTTCGGAGTATATTTTTGAATTTTGTCGACGTCGTTGACTTTTTGTGACTTTTTGTAATATTTCTAACAAAAACTAAAAAATATTATACAACATTTCAGTCATGCAACAAATATTTGAACGTTTTAATGGTGTTGTTCTGCTTTATTTGCAAAAGCATTTCTTTACCAACATATATTTAATATTTGTATACAAAATAAACAGAAATCTAACTAAAAGTCGAGCATTATCTCGGCCGATAGGCGATACTGCGCTAAAGCTATAGATATGGCCTATGCAAACGAAAACAAACAATAGGAAATTCAATATAGACCCGCCTAACTAACAGCATTAATAAAAAAGTGCCAAACATTTTTTGATGGTTACGGATTTGCTCAGGCAGCAAATCCCCTCTTACATATTAAAATGTTACAAATAATATAAATTGGCTATTAGTAAAGCAGGGAGCACACGGAGTACGGAGCAGTAGAAAAACGAAAATCTTTTATAATTAATATAACATTAATTAATTAATTTTTTTATTTGTAATAGTAAACAGTGTATTTTATTATAAAGGATTTTCGTTTTTCTACTGCTCCGTACTCCGTGTTCTCCGTGCTCCGTGTTTTACTAATAGCCTTTTAAATTTTACAATGGCTATGATAAAATCAACCAATTATAAAGTTGCTATTGTCTATGAACTTTCCCGCGTTATTTTGAAAGTCAATCCGGCGACAAGTAAGAAATTCATTTGAATACTGTACAGCTATACTGTAATAAAAATGGAAAGGCAAGTTTTGATCGATCTTATGCGACTCAAAAGTGCTATAAGCAAGAACCAAAAAGAATTTTGTATTGAATTTGAACAGCGTTATTCAATGTATTTACCACGGTCCTGCCATTTCGTGCAAAATTATAACCCGGTCACACAAAGAAAGGACACCCTTGCTTCCATATTATTACCAACAGACGTCCCAGAAGAACTTATTCCAGTGAAAGTAACAGCAGATGGAAACTGTTTATATAATTCAGCATCGGTTTTGGTCACCGGTGACCAGAGTCTCAGCAATATACTGCGGTTATTAACAGCAGTCGAGTTATACTTACACTCGCATTTTTATGCACATCATCAAAGGTAAGAAATAATAATGCCACATAAAAAAATTGTTGGTTAGCGTCCTCGCCGGCCCACAAAAAAAGCCCCCCTCAGGATTTTTTTCGATTTTTATTAGCTAATTTAAAAAAACCCAACTTTTATTGATCAACGGGCTCTAAATTAGAGCTCTAATACATGTAGTACTGTATTTCTGTTGCCAAGTGTAGTCAATTGTGTTAATAAATTGCGAAATTGCGTGCGAAAATGACGGTATGAATCATATTTTGAAATAATATTAAAAAATATCTGTACTGCGCAAGAAAATCCAGTTTCGGACCTAAAGCCAAGGCGTTAAAAATTAGTAAAAATTTAAAAAAAAGCGCCCGCCCACTTTTTGGATGCTAACCAACTATTTTTTTATGTGGCCTAATAGACAATGAGTGATACGGTATATTTTGCATTATCGCATTTTCGACGTTTCGTATTTGCATATTTTCTTATTTTGCATTTTCGTATTGTGTATTTTTGTATTCTGTACATGCGAGCGACATAACAAATTTTATTAGTACTGCTAAATAAATATGCTATACATTTTAGACTATAAAACTGTACAGAGCTAAATTGTAAACGGCTTCCTACCCGTGAAATCAAGATTTTTCAAGTTAGCCTAAACAGGTTCTTTAAGACTATATAAATGGTGCTTATAGCGAAATTAGGCTATTAAACAGGTTCTTAAATAGGTTCTTTGCTCTAAAACTTATGCTAACTATACTTGTATTTGAAATAAAAGAAGGAATTTATCATTACTTATTAGAGGGAGATAGGAATGGCTGAGGGCCACGTGTGTGGGGCATAATCCCGAGAAAATTTTTAAAATTTGGAACCCTAAAATGCCATTTCCTGCATTCTGAGCATCCAAAAAATAAAATTATTAAAAATAATTTATCGTTACTTAGTGGTAGACAAACGTAACAATTTAAATCGATTTTGTTAAACAAGGACATAGGATATAAAGCCTAAAATTTTCCGTTTATCTATTGGTTTAGAATCTTCAAACTCTTCTTCCCAAAGTTTTATGGAGCCATTATAATTAGCAACAGGGACCGCTTACAGTAATTGGATTCTTTATGTAATATAGCCTGCGAACAGGCTCAGGCCTGTTCGCAGGCTATATGTAATATTTCAAATCCGACTATGAGGACTGGACTAGATTTCAAGTCAGCGCAATTTGATCAAGTCCGAGGTGAAGCCGAGGACTGGATAAAAATGCAAGGACTTGAAATCTAGTCCAGTCCGAATTGGAGGATTTGAAATAACATCTCATGCGAATATATCACTACTTAAAGTGAGGTGAATTAATTTTGATCCAGTCGCTGAATTAATTTTGATCCAGGACTAGGACTGGATCAATATACTTATACACCAGGTATCCAGTATTATCATGTGAGCAAAATAAAGCAATATGGTTGGCTAATGTACTCATGAATTATTAATGAATTTGAGATAAATGTGCATACATGAAAACGAGGCTCTTTAGCCAAAGTGACGTACTTAGGGACCGGGCATTATTTATGGTGGGGGGTGGCACCGAAGAGAAATGTTTTTCGTGGCAAACATTTTGGCTCGCTGGTTTGTTTGTATAAATTTAGGAAAAAGGTACTTTTCTCGCGAGGCTAAATGTGATTTCGTGGGGGGGGGGCACAAGGGGAGGGGGGGGGGGCTCCCCCCCCCTCCAGCTTGTATGTTTAAAAAGGCCCCGGTTCATATATTCTGTCTGATTCCTGGGTATATATTCTGATTTCATTACTTTGTGAAGAGTTTAATTTCTTTGATTTATAAATTTTTTGTTTCAACTCTTAGAGTGATAAAATTAAAATAAAAACCTGTTTGAAATTTTAGCCTAAACAGGTTCTTATATAAAGGAGGTCAAAATAAGCAATTTTAGCCTAACAGGTTCTTAAAATCTACGACTAGGTTCTTACTGCATATCGTATTTCGCCCAATGCTACAACATTATATGAACAGATTGTATCATTTTAGACATTGTATTATTGTCTCAGGCTCTCAGCTAACATGCATATAGCGATTAGCTAGCCTATATACGTTGCAGCCTGCAGGCGTTTATTTGCTTGCGGGCGTCGCGAAGAATAAGCGAATAAACGCCTTCTACGCAGGCTCCATGTAGCCGGATATAATTTACATTTCCTATTTTCCTATACTAAAGCGTTATCGCATTAAAGGACTATTCATGCAGTATTTGATATAAAGAACTAGCGAACTTTACCATTATATCTTTCAGGAGACTGTTGTATAAAACTCTTAAACTACTTTTTAACCACTATTTTGTAGGTAAATAGCAGTTAACTCTAAAATCCGCGATTTGATTGGTTAATTAACGTTCGCACCAACAGTCGTTAAAATTTTAACTACTTCATTATACAACTGGTCCCAGGGTTCAAAACATAAATATATCTGCCCAATTACCCAATTTTTCCAGAGTTATTTGTTTAGATGTTAATAGTATAACAGCTGTGCACATTGTTATTCCACCACACTACATATGGTCGACAAAATAGAGTTAATAGACAATTTAAGCTGAGTGGAATATACCAGGTCAATGTACAATAATCAATTTTGAAAATGCAAAAGTTGAAAATGTAACAAGTACAATTTGAAAATGCAAAAGTTGATTCTAAGACCTATAAGTCTTATAAAATATATTGAAAATAAAAGCAGTTGTTTCTATTAATGAAAGAGAAACTCCACGTTGGACAAACATCTACTCTCAATTTAAAAAACGACGATCCGGTATTTTACATTTTATTGAACAAAACGTTTTATCTCACGATGTCCTACAATGATTTCCGGACTGGACGCTCGCTGGACACAAGGAGCCCAACTATGTCCTATTTATTATATCAATAAATATAAATAAAAACACATACGAACTATTAATGTTCTTTTAATTTAATCTAAAGGTTTTCTGAAGTCGACATGGCTTTTGGGGAAAGTACAAGATATATATTGTCTTTATCAACTGATGACGGGAACCACGAAAGAAACAGAATTGAGACAGTTAGGAAAGAGGCAATGGCGACTTGTGTCTTGAAGAACTGGGCTGGCCTGATTCAAGTAATGGCATTGTCATCTGTCCTTAAACAAGTCATATATTCAGTATATCCTGATTATTCACGTGGCATTCGTCCTCTTTTTCACGGTCCAATACAACCCAGAGGGAGAGATAGCAATTTCCAACCTGCACATGTACTTTACATCATGTGGTCAAGATGTGATAATTTCGACAACAGAATGACTATGTTTCAACCAAATCATTTTGTTCCGTTGCTACCACAGGGTTACATTCTAAAGAGTGAAAACGATTTTCCAACTCTCGCTTCATCTGATATCGCGCCGAACGCATCGAAGTCAAAGTCATCATCGGCAAAGAGGAAGAATTCTAAGCGCAAACGACAAGTGCCAATAACAGTGTGTTTACCAACGCCAAACAGCCGGGCAACTAAATCAAACATTACTTTATCTAATTCGCAAACACAAACGGCAAAACGTAGTCGACCTGACTGGATTATGACAAACCACACCCAACCGACGCAAGATGGAAAAATATTATCTCCAAGTCAATTAAGCGTTAATATAGACAAGGTAATTGACCCCGTTTTGGATAGTACAGGGCAAGAATATGCTAAAGTTGGGGAAAACCTGCACGAAGGGATTGATGAGCAGATAAATAATAGCAGTCAGCCACCAAAAGGGTGCAAGAATCAGCCAGCTACATCCTCTCATCAATTACCATTTCCATTTTTATCACGTAAGTGGTATCAAGGTCAAGGTTTGCATGAAACTAAATTGAATGCTTCAGCTCGCATGGGAAACACGGAAGAAAAACTTATGCCAGAAATGTTGCCGTATTCAATGCTCTCACGAGACTGGTATAAAAATCAAACAAAAACAACCAACCAATGTCCCTCAGAGACTCCAACATTAGAAAGAGTTATACCATTAACGAATTTATCGCAGTCCTGGTATAAGCGACAGGGTCAGCTGGCCCAAAAAAATGCAAGCAGAGGAAAAAGTAAAATCATTAATGGAACTTTACAAGAAAATATTAACGAATTAGAAAAAGACTTATTGCAAAGCAATGTAACTCAGGCAGTTATCGGGAAAAAAAAAGTCATGATAGAAGTCGGGAAATATATTTTGAAACACGGTCCCCTTGTACGCATGCAAAAAGTTGGTCAGTTGATCAGTGACACCGAAAAGGGTATGGGAAAAAATTCGAATAGCAAAAGAAGACAAATGTCCTCCGAGATTTTCAAGAAAGTACAGTGTCATCTTAATGTAGTTCAAATTTATATTAAAGGAATTGCTTACCTTCTCGAAAACAGAAATTATGATTTATCCGACGTCACTGAAAGATTATCCAATATTTGTAAATCTTCTATCAAGGAAGAAATTAATAACCACATAAGCGTGAACGTTAGCGACCTACTACAAACAGCAATAAGGTTTGCCGACACTAAACGAGACGCGGACCTCATCAAAGCATTATTTGCTAAAGCAACAAGCGTTAAACACGTTGCAAAAATGCAAAAAGTCCAGAACTGCTCGTCTATACGCGTGGCAGAACAACAGCTGTGTCATAAATTACACGAATTTAAAAATCTCGAGCTCACATCACAGGTGGTGAGGAACGATTTAACGAACGAGCAACAGAGAAGGCTAACTAAGCGAATCATTAGCCAAAGAAAGCATAAGCTTTTCAAGCTGCAGTTTGAAACACGAGGAAGGAATTTAAAAGCCGACATATTTCCTGAACTAAAATTCGTTCTGGAAGAAATTTTCAGCCATGGTAGCAATGGGCTACTAGGAGGTCTAGAGAGCCATCCTCGTCTTACAACTGACATATTGTATAGATCTCGTGATAACACTCTTTTTATGCGTGAAGCACGTGAAATTTTACTCAAGGTTGCTCCTCCTGGCTTTGGAATATCTTTGTCGTCATGTTACAATTATACCGAATCGTACAAAGAAAACACTTATTCTGCCAAACGTCATCATGCAGGGAAGGACGTAAATGCACGAATTGCGCTGAAATGCCCACCGAGAACTGGCGTTTTTAAGCAAGTGATAAATCTTCATTGGACCACAAAGAATGTGAATTTACTGGTTGAGAGTTGTATGACCTGTGAATCTAATTGTCTTGTAGACTCAAAGGATGCAAAGACGGTGATCTGCGGAGATATACAACCGGTTCAAAATCCAGGTAAGAGCTGGAAACCTATCATTTATCCAGATCACACCTTCGACCAAAGCCGTACCAATGCGGTCTATCCTATGGCACACCTGTTTTTGGGTAACGACCAAAACGTATGCGAGGATGATGCTAAAACCATCGAAATAACAAGAACTGGACGACCTGTACTTCTCATTAACATAGCTTTTTTCGAGCACGAGACTACATTCCGAGCTATGAACGAGTTTCTTTATCTTTTGACAGAACCATCGTTAGATAAGATCTTCAGAAACGCCGAGACTGGTCAGCTCAAGTCTATATTTGCTTTTTTGGTGGATAATGGTCATGGAGAAGACCCTGATAGTCCGTTGACGCGAATGTGCCTTGCAAGAATTTTGCATATGCTGAAGTTAAAAAAAATTAGCCAAAGATCGTTTGCTGAGTATAATAGTAAGCGAAATTTTGTTGAGAGAGTCCACGCAGCAGAAAATACCGCTCTGTCCCGTCATGGCGCTTTTGACAGCAAGCAAATTCATCCCAGCCCTGAACCTGGCACCAAAGAACACTTAGAAAACATGGAAGAGATGGCAGAAGATGTGAAAAATTGTTTATCGCAAGCTCGTTTTGCTGGAAGATTTCTAGAATGTTACAGAGGAATTGGGAGCAATGGTATTTTTAGTGACGAGGAACGTTTGAAAGACTTTCTGTCATTTTCAGAGGAAAAAAAAGAAGAGTGTACTTGGACTTATGGCCCAAGCACTTCAGACAATCCATACTTCCAAGCCCTTGTGCAGGTTTGGGGCATTCCTGAAGATTTCGAAAGAAGTTACGTAGAGGATTATAATGTGATTATGAATAAAAACGGCAAACGCACAGCTTGGAACGACAAATATTCAACTAATTTGTATGGAAACGTGAACGATGATAATTTAGAACTGCAACCAATTCCTGACTATGTGTCATGGCTAACAAGTGGCGGCGAACTACACTACATGGCCTTTGAAAAAATATCTTCTTTATATGCCTCTAGTCCGCAATTAGTCGACTCACCTGGACTATTTCTTCCATCCCGGATTCTTGATACTTTTTTTATTGTCGACTCTAATCCTCCTGAAGATATTCTTAATGCGTTGGCGCTTCTCACTTGGACAACTGATTGTGATGTAACAGAGTACTTTAAAAATAAACGTGAAAGAATGGAAAATGATTATCAACAGAACATTGAGCGAGAAAAATGGAGAAATCATGAGCTTTACAAGAAGTCATTAGTTGAATTACATCAAATATGCAAGAAAAATGGTTTGTCTCAAAAAGGAAACAAGCACGAACTGGTTCGACGTATTGCACAGAACAATGGTGAAACAGAGGAAAACAGTTTTTACCCTGACTACAATGGAGATCCAAGCTCACTACCAGATACAGTTGCTAATATCAGGAAAATACCTATTGCTACATTAAAATATATATTAAAGTCCCATGCGTTATCGTACTGTGGCAACAAAGATGATTTAGTCCTCAGAGTTTTTCTTTTGAGTCATAGACGTACTCATCTTTGCTCATTCAGTCAAGCAAAAATTATAGAGGAGACAATAGCCAGTGCAAGAAAGATTATAGCAGAGGAAGTTAAAGAGTATTTGCTAAACATGGACAACGTGAAACGAATTAGAGTGAACAGAAGTGTCCTGAAAGAAAAATCGAAAATAAGAGTCCCCGAGAATATCACAAACGTAAGTGATCTTCATCAGTTATTCAAGTCTCTTAAGAGGTATGTCGCTCGATCAACCAATATCGGTGAAAGGGATGCCAAGGATGATGTGGTGAAATCAGGATATAATACACTGTGTGCCGAAACAGATAATGGACTTGAGAATTTCTTTGAGGTCGGAGTTCGTGTGAAGGTTTGTTGGAAGAAGGAAGAGATAGGCAACTCTGGTTGGCGGCCTGGGTGGTATGTTGCTGAAGTTCAGAATGCCAATTCAATGCTAGACCAAATTGAAGTCGTTTACCTTTCAGAACCAGAATCAGTTTACAAAATTGATGTGACTTCAATGCTGGCCGAAGGAAAGTTACAGTTATCAAAATGACACTGAAAACTAAAATCAGTACACCTTGAAACAATGTTAAAGGCACCATATATTCTTGCAGTTACTGCGTAATAGATAAATCATGAGCGGCCGTGTTGTATCAGATATACAAACACGAGCTGAATGCGAGAGGTTGTATGTCGGATACAACACGGACGCGAATGCTTTATAGCTTGTGAAACGTCTCGATGAGAACATTCGTATTCTTCCACAATTTAAAATAAACGAATGATATTTGTATATCAATGTATATCAGCATGATTTCTGTATCAGATACACAAACTCCTTCACGCTTTGTGCCATCATGAATTATTAATGAGTTTCACAAACATTATTCAAAAACTCATTAATAATTCATGAAGCAATTATCCAATCTTGAGTAAGAAATTAGTCACGTGCATACGTCTTTATAATACCAGCTAAAGAACACTTTAACAAAAGACCATTGTTATGCAAACTATATAAAGATTTTTAAATAAAGATTTTTATATAAAGATTTTTATATAAAGATTTTTATATAATGATTTGACTTATTATGCAAACGTTTTTGAAGCCATTTAAAAAACTCGCAGGTCGTGTTTTATTAGGTCTAAAGCCACTCGCGCTGCGCGCTCGTGACTTTAAACCTAATAAAACACTCCTGCTCGTTTTTTAAATAGTACTTCAAAACTAATTTAATCTGCAGACTACAAAACATTTTGCAAGCATAATTATCATGATACATAGATGCAATAAATTGTATAATTTAAGGGAAGGTTTGTACGAGCCTGCCTATCAAGACATCTCGCCGACCTATCTTGCGTCGTAGTATTTTTCCTTTAAGTATTTTCATCACGTTCATACCCTTAAGTGGGCCAGACCACTTGGTGAGATTCTGTCTGCATAAGCCAGGGCCACAGGTAGGCAGGATTAAAAATTTTCCATAAGATTACGCCATGCAGTCTGCTTACAGGGATGAAGTAAAAAAAAAGATTTCAGATTTTACCATTTCATTTGTTAAAACAATATCTTTTTGTAAATAAGAGAAGATATTTGTGTTGCATCGCTGTAATGTACAAGCTTTGCAAGCGCGGTGACCATAGAATTACGTACTGAAATGGTAGTTCAATGTCAGCAAACAAGATAAAAAATTACACATGAACACTCTGGGCAATACGTCTTGGTAAGCAGGATCATACAAACAAGGCCTAAGTGTTGGTTATTTTATTTTTGATAATTAAAAATATAATACTTGTTACATACTGTATTTTTAATCAGCCTTGTTGTTAATTCCTCATGGGTAGATCGACATATTTTAGTCCGGAATTCCTCATGGGTAGACATATTTTAGTCAGGAATTCTTCATGGGTAGACATATTTTAGTCAGGAATTCCTCATGGGTAGACATATTTTAGCCAGGAATTCCTCATGGGTAGACATATTTTAGCCAGGAATTCCTCATGGGTAGACATATTTTAGCCAGGAATTCCTCATGGGTAGACATATTTTAGCCAGGAATTCCTCATGGGTAGACATATTTTAGTCAGGAATTCCTCATGGGTAGACATATTTTAGTCAGGAATTCCTCATGGGTAGACATATTTTAGCCAGGAATTCCTCATGGGTATTGTCAAAAAATTATAGCTCCTCAATAGGGGGGGTGCGGATATTAAATGGAATAGCCCATTACATGTAACTGCTGGTAAGTTAGCTAATATGTGCAGACAACAATCCACACTGGTCACTGGGTTAAACTGCATGCATGTGTTGCTATAGGAATATGAAATATCTTTACATTATATTAAAAGCATACACAACATTCCGCGTTTGTTTTCAAAACGTGCAGAAATCACATAATTTGCTATATCTACAGTATGTACATCTAGAATGAACACTATAAACCATCGCACCACACAAACAAATAAACCAAAAGTACATTTTGACTCCTCATGCAAATGTGCCGATAAATTGGTGAAATCATATTATATTTGTTTCAAATACCTCATATCGAACACTTCCAACAGCAGATCTAA